TTGCGCAGTCGACATGTGTCAAATTCTTATTCGATGGACCTCATTTATAAAAGTAATAGATTTTCGAGCGGTTTAATTTATAAAAAAAATAAAGGACCTATGTGTAAAAAGAGAAAATCTCCCCCTTTATCTCCCGTGCCTTCCCTAATTTATTCCACAAAACCCGATCTTCAGCAAATCTTTTATCAATCTTTTAGTTTCGTTAATACACTTGGTAGCTAAAAGCTGATGATTAAAAAAATAAAGGAAATTTTTGACTTAAAAGTGAGTTTAGATACCCAATGCGAGCAATTTCGACGATCAAGTGGCTCTCAGTCTTGGGTTCGAGGTCGAGTTATAGTTTTATAAAAAAAACATTGCTTAATTGCAACAAAAAATCGAAATCAAATATAGTCCATAGAGTAAAGACGGTTTCTATAAGAAAAGCCTTAACTAATAAATTTAGCGATTTGTTCATGTCATCAGGATTTGAGTTTTGAACGGAACCAATTATATCAAATGCCCACAAAATATTTCTCTTGAAAAACCGAAGTCTTTTCTCGTTCGCAAGGAGAACCCATTTAAATAAATTAAATTTTTTTTCTTCTTTCATAACGAAGATCGAGTGCAAGGTACGTAATTGCTCTCCATTTTCTTTATTGTGAGATCTATTTTCTGACTGTGCTTCACGTTTCAATCAAAACGCAACACTTTATTTCATAAATTTGGTGTCATTTATTGAATTTATTATTTTCTAAAATTACTAGTTGGTGTATTGTTCTCCTTAATTCACAGGCAAATAGTTAACTTTAAATTTTTTTTAAAGGAATCAACTTTAATTTTGAGTGATTGTTCTCCTTTACATGATATTTGATGACTAATATTGTGCAGGATTGATGCACAATATTGGTTTTTTTATTGATATACTTTACAGGTCTTGTTGACCCTTTGTTCATGGTATTGTGCAGGATGAGAAGGCTAAAAGACAAAAAGAAAAGAGAGAAGGAGACAACCTTGAAACAAGCTGTCTTCTACTTTAAGAAAAATGTTCTCTATTTACCATGCTTAAATGTGATCCATTTTATTTTATATGTTTTTACAATTTGCAGGATACTTAGACGAGGTGACCATTTTCTATGCCTTGAGTTGAGTCATGTAGACATACCTATCTTCAAACAATTGCGAGTATTTCTAAATATGTATCTACAAGGGTTTGTATTTGCCTCTTGAATTCCTAGGCCACGTTACAGAATTGCTGAGCCTATGTCTTATGACAATAAAATGTCATGCTTATAATAGTTTATAGCTTCATTAGCTTGTTCTTGCTTTGCATTTTTTTCAGTCCCTGCTCATGCAAAGGCACAGATGAAAGTATGTCACCATGACAACAATGTAGTATAAGCTTAAAAATGGTTCGATATGTAAATATAAAATCAACAGATAATTGACTAGAGGTTATAAATTGTAGAGATACATTCACGTTCTATAATTAGTCCTGTTTATGCTTAATTGTCACACATAAATTACTGAATCATATGGGAGCTTTCTGTTATCACATGATCTAATTATATGTGATACCTGAAAGCCCCCATTAACAAGAGAAGAAAATGTAAAAGGCCACAGACTAGTTGTATTTTCCCATTCTTGTTGAAGCTCTTTCTTCTTGGTTGTTTTCTTGTTTTTGTAGGAGAACTTTGCTCAAATGATTTCTGATGCCGGATTCCAGAAGGTCGAATATGAAAATCTTGTTGATGTAGTAGTCTCCATCCACTCTGGACTGAAATTGTAGTAGCATACTTTAGCTCCTATGCAATCATGTTAAAAACTGTAGAAGTTTGTGCATGTTTGTCCTTTGTTTAAAGCTGCACCAATCAGACGGAAATAGGGACATGTTTGGGCTTATGCATCTTTATGAATGTAGGCGGATATTGCCATATTTTTCAGATTGAATTTCCAATTTATATGGCTTTTAATGTGTACCAATTAGCACACAATCCTTTTTGGCAATCCATTTTTTGGACGTGTATAACGTAAGATGTTTTTTCTTTTCCCTGAATGTGTGTATTTGTGTAAGATGTATATAAGAATATATACATGTAGGACTTCCATGGACATCGCCTCTTTTCCTTCGGTGCAAGCTGATATGGATATTAGAGTTTCCTAAAGAAGCCTGTTTCGGGCACTACGTGATGACCGAGGTCTCCCCACAAAAGAGAACCATACTTCTCTTCAACTTTTATTATTCGTCGTGATTGTTCCTTTTCTGGTCATTCATCAACAGTCGACAGTTTTATTTGTTGTTTACAATACATTTTGTATCTCGTCATGTGGGTCTCCTCCATCTTCTGTGAGAAATGCCAATATGAAGAGTAACCATAGAGATTAAAATGAGAACAAAATAATCAAGATCATGATCATTGTATATCTCGTCTAAATACCCTGCAAATTGTAAAAACATATAAAATAAAATGCATCACATTTAAGCATGAGAAATAGAACATTTTTCTTAAAGTAAAAGACTGCTTGTTATGATAGTCAACTCCTTCGATTAAAGAAAAGAACAAGCACTAATCATCCAACACAACTAAAAACAGAGAACCAATAACTAATCATCTTATACAATTGAGAACATAAAACAAACACTAATCATCCAACAGAAATAAAAATAGAAAACAAGTATACAATGCTGAAAGACCAATGCACAAGAGGAGCTACTACTTAAAATTGAAGGAGAATGAAAGCTTGGGGAAGGAGGGCAGCGGGATTTTGTGGAATAAATTAGGAATCGGCTAAGGTTTGTTGAAGATCGGCGAAGGCGTTTCACGAAGATCGGGTTTGGGAGGATTGGGAAAATTTCTGAAGATCGGGTTTTGTGGAATAAATTAGGGAAGGCACGGGAGATAAATGGGGAGATTTGCTCTTTTAACACATAGGTCCTTTATTTTTATTTTTATAAATTAAACCGCTCGAAAATCTGATACTTCTATAAATGAGGTCCATTGAATAAGAATTTAACACGTGGCGACAGCGTAGGAAATTTCCTACGCAGCCAGCTCACCTCCCGTTTTCTCTATATATATTTTTCTGAGGGGAGGGAGGAGATAAGACTAAGCCTTGATCCGGAGGGCAATTTGGTCCACAGACCATGGCATATTATATGTCTTATTATATCATAGCTAATGTTTTGAAAGTTTTTAAACTATTGCGTATCATTTAGTAGTTAGATGGTGTAAGTAAGAAATTAAGAAAGATGGCTATAGATTTCCTCTGCTATCAACTCCAAGAACGGAGGAACATGAAGGGATGAAGGCTAACAGGACTGCATAAAACATAATTTAGCAAGATTACGTTACTCTAGATCAAATTTACACTCTGATCTTAAAAACAAAAACAATTAGTAAATAATATTTAGAACAAGTGAGGTATCCTTGCATATAAACTGTACAACAACAAATTATTGAGCAAAAAAAAACCACAAACCTGCCCTGATACAAACCCCCTGCTTCAATAAAGCAAAACGAAGAAAAAAATAATACGGGCTTCCACACAAATATACAATGAGCTTCACCGTGAAAGAACCACAATGCGTCTTACTTGTATAGATCACATATGAACAAAAATCATAGAACTTCCAAAGTTTTGCAGCTCAACAAATTAGGAACAAGGCATTCCCCAATACTGAAACAGATGAGCCAATACCATGATGATTCTCAGTGTTCACTCCTACCCTTTGAGAAAAATCTGCTAAATCCCCTCCCATGTTTCTCTGCTGAGGAAGAAGACGATGATGATCTTGTCACCTTGTGCTTTTGGTGCCTGGACTCGAGAGGTGATTTTGGAAATGGACCTGATTCAGTGTCGGGTAGACTCATGTAGGAGTTGTATCCATTTAAGGGGGATTCCCCTCCTGTGCTCAGTGCTACTGATGTAGTTATGTTTTCTATTTCAAACTGATCAAAGTGTTGTGGGCTGAGCGTCGCTTGTCTAATGGTAAAGCCATCGGCGCTTGGTTCATCTTCAAGAACTCCATCACTCATTGGTTGTCTACTATTTGAAGAGGAGCCAAGAGATTCTGATGGAGGGCGCAGAGAATTTAGTTGCCTGCCAAGAAGAAATATGGTCTCCTGGCATTCTGCTAGCTTCTCTGCTGCAGCTGCAATCTCCCTTTCCTGTTATCATACACATGAGAAAGGGTTCAAGTAAGATGTGGAAAAATAACTCATGTAGGAACAAGTTCATGGAGTTTCTAGGTATATAATACAAGGAACCCTGTTAGAAAAAGTCTGCTACCAGAGCAAAGCTAATGATACATGCGTTCACATGCGCACATATGAACAAGCAAATAGGCAAAATTGGAGGAAATTGTATTAACAACTGAATTTTTTTTACATAATTTACACATCTGTTTGGACATAAAAGGGACCAAATATTAGGTTGGCAAACATCACATATGATTAATAATAGAGGAATAAAGTGAAGATTGGGCATGCTATTCAAGTACGTGTTAAGAGACCAACCTAGAAAAATTAGATGGTGTCACATAGCATAGGCTCGTGAGTGATGAATATATCAATAGTTATTCCACTATGGTAAGTAGAATTGTAGCATGGTGAGATCCTTTTCAGGTACTCTCATTACTAAACCTTTTGAACGTTCTATCCACACAATTACAGGAATTATGACAATTTTAAAAGAATCTTCAATAGAATGTTTAGGTTTAGCATATATTTTATAAGTGTGTTGTTTCTTAGGTGACACGTTAGATAGTCATCTAAGGAATCTGCATAAATCTTATTTTTGGACCAGCCAAATGGAGATCCACTGTTCATTGTGATCTCTTTATCTTGCAGTGGTTGTACTAATATGTAAATCCTGATACAAATCAACCACGCAACAAAGTGTTGTAAAGTGGAAAGTTCATCAATAACAAAACAAATAAGAAAATCAAAAAAAGCCACTCCATTGATGGTTAATGAGAGTCCAATTTACGAAGTTTCATGCTCGAAATGAGAACTATGCAACCACATGTATGTGCAGCGTATATGAGAGTCCAATTTACGAAGTTTCATGCTCGAAATGAGAACTATGCAACCACATGTATGTGCAGCGTATATTTGCATTTGCAAATTTGCTTATGTAAATCGAAATGAGAACTATGCAACCACATGTATGTGCAGCGTATATTTGCATTTGCAAATTTGCTTATGTAAAGTGGTTTTTTGTCATATTATTGTCATATTAGACACCCTCCCTCCCTCCCTCCCTCAGATCTTCTACCATATCTTAAAATTTCTGGATTTTCTATAGGCGGAACATATGTTTCAGCTCTGTCATGTTGTTTTGAAGTACTTGCTTCATCATGTAAAACCATAGATGTAGCAGATTCTTCTCCTATATGATAAATAATGTGAGGCTTATTTTGTATATTTTCTTCGTCTGAGTACTAATCAGACATTTTTTGAGTTTAAATAGAATCTAAAGTGCTTTTATCAGGGTAAAATATTCATCAAAAGAAAAAAAATTAAGATAGATGTTCAACAAATTGATAAGATTTATGATGAAGCCTTCCAACATCTTAGACAAAAAGAACTTGAAGGAATAATTGATAGCCAGGATCTCTCTCTCTCTCTCTCTCTCTCTCTCTCTCTCTCTCTCTCATGAAAAATGGTACTTTGTTCATGTTGGATGGCATGTTCCTAATATGTTTCCTAATTTATTTTGGTAACAGGTTATTGGGATTCCTAATCTGTTTTGGTAACATGTTATTGGGATTCCTAATCTGTTTTGGTAACAGGATCCCTAATCTGTTTTGGTAATATGTTACTAGGATTCCTAATCTGTTTTGGTAATATGTTATTAGGATTCCTAATTTGTTTTGTTTTTTTGTTTTAGAATTCCTATTATGCTTTTGGTTTTAGGATTTCTATATATATAGGAACACGTTTTAGGTTTGGGGAGCAGAAAATCGAGGATATTTGGAGCACAGAAAACAGGTATTTTCTGAGCTATTGGTTAGGGTTTTGTTTGGAGAGAATTAGTGATTTGTTGGTGAGATTAATTGGTAAGTTTGAGTGAGTTGTAATCTCAGTTTGTACTTTTCTTCTCTATTAGTGAAAAACCTTATCCCTTCTTGCCCCGTGGACGTAGACAACTTGCCGAACCACGTTAAAATTGGTTGTTTGTGTTTGTGGCATTGCTTCTTGCCCCGTGGACGTAGACAACTTGCCGAACCACGTTAAAATTGGTTGTTTGTGTTTGTGGCATTGATTTGGTTCGTTTGGCCAACTTGCCGAACCACGTTAAAATTGGTTGTTTGTGTTTGTGGCATTGATTTGGTTCGTTTGGCCTTCTCTTGACGTTCGTTTGATTTGATTTCTCATAGTACATTGGTTTGGTTGTTTGGCTTCCGCAGCGCACAATAAGTGGTATCAGAGCTCGGGCTACGTTTGGGTTATTTGGAGGAGTAGATCGCTTTGGAAGTTCGTCTAGAGCTTTGTTTGGTGATAAAAGTGGAATATTTTTGGTAAAGACTATCTTTCTCAAGTTTGGATCTATTCTTCATTTTGTTCCGCATTGGTTGTTGGTGTGTTGAGGAATATGGTCGGGAAAGAAGGTGTTAAGGGTGGTACTTCTGGTGTGAAGACCATTCAAAGTTTGAATATCCACACTATGAAGATAGATGTGGAGAAGTTTAATGACACGAACATTTTTGGACTTTGGTGATGCGAAGTTTTGGATACGCTGAACGCGTAAAATTTGGAGGATACTTTAGAATTGGATGGCAAGCCAGATGATATTAAAGAGAATGTTTGGAAGAAGATGAATCTGATGGCGTGTGGTGTTATTAGGTCTTGTTTAACACAAGATTTAAAGTATGATGTGATGAATGAGACTTCTGCAAAGAAGATTTAGGAGACCCTTGAGAGCAAGTATTTGACCAAGAGTGTAAAGAACCGCTTGTATTTGAAGAGGAGGTTTTATCGCTTCCAATTGAAGAAGGGGACCTCCATTGGTAATCACATGAACCACTACATGAAGCTTCTTGCAGATTTGGTGAATGTAGATGTGATGTTTGAAGATGAGGACAAGACATTGTTGTTGTTGAGTTTCTTGCCTGACGAGGAATATGAGATATTCGTTCTTACTCTTATTAATGGGAATGCATCTCTTTCTTATAGTGAGGTCACTGCGAGGCTTTATCGCTTCCAATTGAAGAAGGGGACCTCCATTGGCGATCACATGAACCACTACACGAAGCTTTTTGCGGATTTGACGAATGTAGATGTGATGATTAAAGATGAGGACAATGCGTTGTTGTTGTTGAGTTCCTTGCCTGACGAGGAATATGAGACCTTCGTTCTTACTCTTATTAATGAGAAGACATCTTTTTCTTATAGTGAGGTCACCGTTGTACTTGTGAATTATCAGCTTCGAAAAAAAGATAATGAGACTTCAGTTGAGCCAGTAGCGGGAGCATTGATCGCAAGAGCAAAGAGTCCAAACCGTGGTAGGAGGTCGCAGTCTAGAGGGGCACATCTTGGAGTTCATAGGAATCAGTGTGCCTTTTGTAAAGAGGATGGACATTAAAAAGCCGAATGCCCAAAGTTGGTTGATCGAGCCGGGAAGAATAAGGGGAAAGCTATTCAAGCTTCAGATGTGAATGTTGTCAAGGCTAATGGCAATAATTTAGATTCGGATTCTTCGGGCTACTATTATTGTGCAACATCAAATAATTATGTCAAAAACTCTCAATGCAGCTAACCAATATTTTCCCTAAAACCCTCCATATTTTCAAAAAAAAATTCAAGAATTTATAAAATATTTATACACGTTTCGTCTTCCAATCAAGCTCATGTAATTCTCCTATCCATCTCTACCTTAAACGCTTATGTGGGCTCATGTGATTAATTGCAACAAAAAAAAAACATTTTGAAGATGGTTTACGTATAAATTAAAACTAAAAAGTTGTTTTTATAGAATAACATTATTTTAAAAGTGATTTTTATTTAAAAAAAACCTTTTACTACATCACAAGTAACTGATCTATGTGGAATAATAGGACAATAATCATAGCACAACAGAGTCCTCGACAGTCTATGATGCTTAATGGAGTTTGTAAAGTTGCTAATTGATAGGAAATTTTTTGGAACAACTTAAAGAAATTTAGGGTCTTAGCCAGAAATACCAAGATTTGGAGCTCTAACATAGAAATAATGAAGATTAGGGGATCTTATTTATCATGAAAACAATATTATATATCTTCCTACCGTTTCTTTCAAAATTTTCCATTCTTTTTCCTATCATTCCCCTCTGTTAGTAAACTGTTCAAAACAGGTATAATTAATTGAAGGACGTTGTCAATAGAGCGTTCTCTAATAATAACTCACAGGGTGCTTGAGGAGCTTATTTTATGGTCAAAATAGCTTTCAAGTTAGTTTTTTCAAATCTAGTTGTTTGGTAAAATATCAAATAAATTAACTTATAAGTTCACATTTTTTAAAAGGAGTAGAAAAAGCTGAAAGTGGCGACCATAATAATACTAGAGGGAGGGGCTTTTTATTTTTTATTTTTGAAATAAAAATAGGATGAGATGCCCTATTAAAAGATATGTTATAAACAACTCGCGATGCTTTATGTTAGTAAGTATCTAATTGTAATTCCTGCGTATTGTTAGGGTCAAAATTTTCCAGGTGAGTTTGTTTGGTCTATTTCTTTGGACTATTTAGATATTAGTGTCTAAAATCCTCAATATAATTAGGGTTCTTGCGTTTTGGTCCCTCAATAACCAAAATATCCTATTTGCAAGTTGGCGTCACAAGATTTACATGAAGTTCTTAACTTTGATAACCCAAGGTTTTTTTAAAGTTTGATACTCCAAAGTTAACACAGTTTCTAACTTTAATATCCCAACATTTTTTCTGGCATAAGTTTACACATTCTTTTAACTTTCTTATCACAAACTTCCTATATATTTTTTAACATTGATACCTCAAAATTTATACACGTTTTTAACTCTGATACCTCAAAATTTGGTGTATTCTAGTGTCAAAAACAAAAGTTTGGGCTATCAAAATTAAAGTAATGATTTTGTCGTATCAAAGTGTTAGAACTTTTTGAGGTATCTAACTTTAAAAGGTGTAAACTTTAGGGTAGTAAAATATAAAATAAACTTTGGATTATTTAACTTTAAAATGTGTAAACTTTAGAAAATCATAGTACAAATCAATGGCGGAACTATCCTTTTTTTAAAGTTTGTTTTGGTGGTGGTGGTGTTTTTATTTATTTTTATTTTACTTTTTATTTTTTATTTTTTTTGGTGGGTATATATAAACATGAGAACAAAATAAAAAAATTATATCGCATAGTAACTACTTACTGAAGTACAAATATATAGAATTTATATCAATCACCTTAACAACAAATAGATTTCAAAGATAAAAAAAAATCGACAGCTCACCCAAACCAAGTGAGATAACTGAGAATTATGTTAGATTTGTTAAATAGAAATGAAAATTGGAAGGAGAAAGAACCGAGAGATTTAAGAGTAGTTTTGGTTAAACTTTTATGAGAGAGAAATAGAGATGAACAATGCACAAATTTGTCTCTCCTTTAGGAGCTTTCTATTTTAATTTTCTTTTGTTTCTTAAAGGCTAAATAACACTTAAATGCCTTATAGTTGTCGCTAACTTTGCACTTACATACCCCCACTTGATTTTCATGGCATTAATATACCCTCAGTTGTTTAATGGTACATTAATAAGGTATTTAAGCGTCATATTAGAATATCCGGCTGAAAATTTTCGCATTTGCATAATATACACCGGTAATATGTTAATTTTAAACCACTAATAAATATTGTCATTATTATAAATGAATAATGTCTAATCACAATTTAAATGTCATCTAACAAATTAGGATCTTTATAAAAATGAGATTATTTCTTTGACCAATTAAAATTTTAATTAAATAGTTTACTATTTATAAATTATAATTATTAGTCAAATAAATATATATTAATATTTGATAAATATTCTTGAATATATAATAAATATCGATATTTGAATTCGAATAAAAAAATTAGACAAGATGTTCGAACTCAAATTATAAAAATATGTAGAGAAAAATATTTGAATTCAGATTCGAACCCAAAGATTTTAAACATATACAAATGCAGATACAAATATATAAATACTCGAATTCGTTTTCGGTTTATTCACTCAAATGAACAAGAATGGGATCTGTAAAGGAAAAGAGCTCCCCAAGCTCGTTGAGGAATAACTTTATGAACTTAGAAAGTTATATAAAATTAAAAAGCTCGTGAAAATATGTGATTCAAACTCGCACCATTGGATAAACTTCCACTTCTCTTGCATAAAATAAATACAGGTAGCTAGCTATCACTAAATCTTATGAGGCAAATAAAAATTGTCGTGACTTGAGAAATATTCAAAGTCACCTTGTAATCCAAAATTTATGGAACTGATTATGGATAAGACATTGTGTATTGTGTTTTGATCGTGTAATTTGGTGGTTTTGCTTTGGGCAAAGTCCAAAATGACCTGAATCCCTGTCAAATTTCACTGGTTTGGCTGAAGTCATGGCTAGCCAGCATAGAGACATTTATTGCACATCCTAATCCTACACGATCTCGTAGTGATAAATTTCCAAACATAACACGAGAATTAAAGATTTAATAACAAAATGAGCAAAACTTATTATTAAAAGCATAGCTCGCTATAACATGCTGGATTATTGTATCCTGGGATTATATAGTAAATTATATTAATACCGGGACAAAACAAATACACAATCCAAACATAGCCATAGGCAAATATTTATTACACTAAATTTCAGAAAGCGAACCCCCATCACTCAGGACAATCATCAGAGAACCCCCATAACTTAGAATATTTGGATCAAGTATAAATACATTTCAAGAGCATACAAACAACCGTCTTCCCCAAAAGTGCAGGCCAAAAACATACGTCTAAACAACATCTTTTATGGATAGATCACATCACATTACAAAACAAGGCAGAACAAAGCAGACGGTGCTTGAGCTTTTGCAAGAACAAAAAATAAAAATATAACAACCGAACTGATGTCCCTTGAATCAGAATACTAGCATTGAACCTGCCATGTGATGTGGCATGTAACTTTCAGACTTAAGACGTGCTCGCAAAGGGGCCAAAAAGGCCAACATTGAAGGGCCATCTTCATCTGAAACAAACACAAAGTTTCACTTTCCATGTCACTTGCAGTCTATTGACCACTAGCTACAGGTGGTGGGGGCGGAGGGCGGGCCCCAGAATGTATAATAAATATCTATATTTGAATTCGAATAAAAAAATTAGACAAGATGTTCGAACTCAAATTATAAAAATATGTAGTGGTGGAGGTGGTGGAGGTGCACCGGTGCCCTGAGGTTTGACTGATTCCGGTGGCTTCGTTTTGAAATAGAGTTGGAGCTGTTCACAATGATAATAATACGTTACATGTTAAAGAGTTGCCCTTAAAATAAAATAAATTGTAAATAACCCCCTTATCTATAAATTTTGTAGCACTTATCATCTCTCAATTCACGAGGAAGAGATACCAATATAGGGTGATAAGTGCTAATAAAATTGCTGAGGAGTGATAGGCGCTACTGAAGGTATAGATGAGAGGTTTATCTGCAATTTACCCCGTAAAAGTAAGCCTACGAGAAAGGTTTTGATTGAAGGTGAACAAACCGTGAACATTTTGAGGTCAGGATCCCAATGAGAGAAGAACTTTGGTGTGGATTTGTCAATCTCAGTGCTAGGGACCTGAAACATGCAAGAGAAAATGATTTTTTTAAAGAAAACCTAGAAAATGATTTTTTTTTTTAACTTAGGTATGAGAATAGGGTTAAATTGGCTATAGATGACAGACCTTGAAAGCAATAATCTCATAGGGGTCAGCAGCAAATAGCAGGTATTGGTACCTCTTATCGAAGGGTTGAACCCTCTGCAAGAAATAAAATCGGTAAGTGTCAAACCAAGCACGCTGCAAATATATACAAAAAAGAACTCAACATGAAAGTATATGCATGATTTACCTGCTCATAAGATGACATGAATCGATGCCTGGGCTTAGTGTTGTCTTCAATTTCAGGATATTCAATCTGGAATGAAAATAAGTGAAATTAGCACACTAATTTAAGGATATTTAGGGCTGCAACCAATGAAAGCAAAAATGTATTCAAAAGAATTTAAAACAAATAGAAAATAATAGTAAATACTTGCAATGTCAGTTGGTTCAATATTTCTTTCTTTCTTTCTTTCTTTTCAGTTATGTAGATGAAAATTGTAAAAGCATTAGCTGCAGTAAGGCTGGTCACAAGTTTAGGTGATGCTTCCAGCAAATTCCTCATAGTGATGAAGCCTGTCCTGCTATGTGAATCACATAAGAGGGACTGAGGGAGCTCCTATCTTTTGGCAACTCATTTTAATAATCGCTGTCAGCTTATACTCAAATTCCATAATAGTATAATAATGACGGCAATAGAAGAAAACACAAATTATAGCTCTCAAGAATGAGCCAATCACTGAAGGCAAGGAGACTTGCATCCCTCTAGTAAATGAAGAACAAATTCCCTACTATATACCTTTTATAAAGCATTCCAAAATCAAAGCCCTCAAGCTCATGAATATTTCCCCTGGCTAAAACAATAACAAGCGGGAAACTAGCAAAGCTAAATTTCAAGCATAACATCGTAGGTTCTTTTGATAGTCTGATCATTTAATTGAACAGACTAAATAATAAAATGTCCCCTTGAACTGCTCATCTGATCATTTCATTGATCCTTCACCACGAAAACTATTTCAGAACCATATGACAAGAATAAAGTACGTAGCTGAATCCTTCTCTTCCCTAAGAGTATCTCTTTAGATCGATTAATACATGTCCTTAACTCTTGAGCCATTTAGGTGAAACTCCTATTCCTCCCTCCAACTACCATCCTACCCCTCTTCTTAAACAGGTCGGTTGCCAGAAAATGTAGTACAACAATGAAAAAGAATTGATAAGACAACTAAATAAATATATCCGAGTAACAGTAAGCAAGAACCTGAAACAGAAGAGAGCGCTGCTTTGTATCTGGATCATACTGCTTTGTCACTCTGTATCCAGGCCTGCCAATCTTGACTGCATAACAACAGGAAATAATTTAGAACCACAAGGAAAAAACATAATGTGCATAAACAACTACTCTTCTTACTTAATTGCTTGGAAGTTTGAGAAAGAATGACAAATAATAATCACATGCATATGCATCTACCTGAAATCCATTAGCATTCCGGGAGCATGCTCCCCAAGCATTGTGTGCAAGGTTTTAAATGTCGGATGTCGGGTTCATGTCGGATGGCTGAAATCCATGTCGGATAGTGGAAATCAGGGATATATCGGGGGACATTGACTAAATATCGGATTGTCATATCGGGTAGTGCGCATATGTATAATATCATGTCCTAAATGTAATCTAAGCATTCATATATTCAATATAAGCAGACTTTATACATTCTATAGACTAAACATATAAAAAAGTAAATAATATATGGATTTGGGTTCATGAATTCTTTCTACCGGGTTCATAAGAAACCCTTAAACATGAGAACGGATCAAACGGGTTTGGATATTTATCACTAAACTCAAACCCGATAACAAAAAACAGATCGTAAAAAAAAGTACCATATCGGCCGATTTTTCAAAGCTAAAAATAGGTCGATATGCCCGATATGACCCTGATATTTTCGATTTGGCTCTGAAAACCGACATACGAGTTAAAAACGTCCATGTCGTGTCGGTCAAGCTCTTAAACCGATATGTCGGCCAACATGTCGGACATGTCGGCCGACATTTAAAACCTTGATTGTGTGTATACTTGAGAAATAGTTAACGGGCATCAAAACCCCTCATATTTATTATGTCTAGGGTATCATCAGCATTCAGATGTGGAATCTAAGAAATAAATATGCATTTATTATAAAGATAAAACATTTCCGAGATACTAGTAAAGGAGGGTTCTATTCGTTATTTCCATACAATTTGAGATTAAATTGATTTTTAATTTGTATACATTAGAAAACCATGTCATGTGATTTGATGCAAAACATGTTGTTGATAGATAATATTTACATGGACTATTAAACTGGTTTTATTTTATAGGGCATTGGAGAAAGACATGCAAAAAATAAAATAACTGAAATCTTAATTCTCGAAATGCAACTACATTCAAGTGGTTGGCTTGTATAAAGACCGAGAAGAAATATGCTTCTAGCAGCGTTCACACTTCAGCTCTTCATCTAAACTATTTTCTAGTCGGGGGGACTTCAGATAGTTTCAATTTCATGAGTTTCTAAGAAATGTAGGCCCAATATACCTGACCTGGTCTTCAAAATTTTATACTGAAGGCTATTCCTTGCTCAACTTTAATAGTACAAAATTCCAGGCTTCTAGCATCATGTTGTCAAGTGTCAACCCAAAAGCACAGAACATGTACTATTCTTCAGGCATATATGGTCAAATTCATCTTCATACCACCCATTAATATCCTGACATGATTATTCACCATCATACATAACACGTATATCACATAATTTTTGTGTCAAAGAGTGGGAGGGGAGCTATACAAGGTTCCTTCCCACAACATACTCACATTATCCCATACTATGTACACTATTAGACTTCAACCAGATATAATTTGTTAATTTCATCCTGGTAGCGTTGACTTTTTCCCCTTAATCGTGGGTCGTATAAAAGGTCTGTTTCAATTTAAAGAAGAATAATGTCACAGGCCTACCTGTACTTCTTTGTCTAGTAGGATTAGAAGAGCTTGTTTCTGTCATGTCAAATTCAATGGAATACCAACTTTTCGACATTACGATAGTGAGCACTTTCTCTTCTCATCTAATAAAGTGAAGGTACCAAGCTAATTGCACATACACTGCAAAGTTACTTCTCGAAAGAAAACTAGTAGATATATAACATTAACTGCTAAGGTAATTGCACCATTTATAATACGATATTGAGCACTTTTTCCTCTTATCTAATAAAGTGAAGGTACCAAGCTAATTGCATATCTCTATGGTTTTCAGCACAAACAACCAAAACAAGCCCAAGAGTATAGTCCTGGTTTATATTTTTACAACAGTCAAAATACTTGAAAATTCTTTAAGTTGACACCAACCCTTCTTGCCAAGATTAATTTTTATCCAATGAAATATAACAGAAAAATTATATCAACATCACTCATTCATAAACTAAATCACTAGTCAATCATGCTAACTAAAATTTAAAAAAAATTCAAATTATCCAAATCTCACCGCTCTTTTTAAGCGTAACCTTCCGCTTATGCGGCTGCGGCTGCGCCGGCGCATCCTTCGCCTCCCTCGCCGCCCGCTTCGCGAGGTTCGTCTGATGCCTCTTCCCCTGAGTATGCGCCAGGTAGTTCCCCTCATTATTGTGCAGCGTCAAGCAAAGCTTACACTCATAACTACAAAAATCAAGCACCAAGTTAGTCTAATTCTAGGGTTAGGGTTAGGGTTAGGGTTAGGGTTTTGGTACCTCCCGAGGTGGTTTCGCATGAAATAGGGCCGCTCCCCGGCTTTGATCCCCAATCTCGATCCATGCCTCCTTTCGATTTTCGCGCTGGCTAAAATCTGAGATTGATTATCCCCGGGTGTTATTAATAGAGGTCTTAAAGGGTCGGGTTTGGGTCAGATCTTTGTAAGAAATAACCAATATCTGTAGGGAACTTAACGGGTTGGGTTTGAGTCGCGCATTATTATCACCGGAACCAATAAATATATCTTATTGGTAAAGAGATGTCACTAAATATGCTAATATAATAATTTAGTTCTTATTATTGTAACTGGGATAAATTTTAAAAATCGACCTATTTACAAAAATAATTGCAAATATCGACATCTTTTCAACATATTTGTCAAAATCGACCCAGTTTCAGTGGCTGAAACTGGATCGATTTTGACCAAAAAACATACGAAACTTCACGGGACTTCCCGTAAAGTTTAAGACCCTCTAATGAAATTTGATTAACGGTGCCAACTCTTTCACGGGACTTCAAGTCCCGTGAAATTTGTTTAAAACTTCACGGAGAAATGGGTCGATTTTGCTTAAAATTTGTTTAAAACTGGAAATTCAGCAGAAACTTCACGGTGAAGCTAAAACACTCCTTACAAGTTCACGAGACTTCAAGTCCGGTGAACTTACACAGGTTAATTACCTGACTGCTAAGCTTCAATGAAGTCCCGTGAAGTTTTAGACATTTTTTGGTCAAAATCAACACAGTTTCAGCCATCTGACTGAAACTAGGTCAATTTTGACAAATATGTTGAAAAGAGATTGATTTTTGCAATTATTTTTGTAAATGGGTCGATTTTTAAAATTTGTCCTTATTACTACTACTATTGGGGTAAATTACAGATACCTCTTTGCATATATACATTCAGTAGCACTTATCACCCATCATCTTATTTCTTTAATATTGGTCGTCCTCAATTCACGAGGAAGGGAGATAAATAGCAATTTATCCGTCTAATTCCCCCTGGATCCCTAATATTTTTATAATCTAACATACAATAACGTATTCGTGGAGAGAGTAACTCCTTCATCCTCTTCATCCAAAACATGTAGCTTGTTTTACTTTCAACTATAATCGATTGACTTGAGTAAACTACCTAAATTTGTATAATACAGGTTCGATGGTTCGTTTAGTATAATCGTTCAATGGGTAAAAATCTGCTTGATGCCAAACAATTTTCAATCACACAATCCAGTAACAATCGATCAATAGATTAAGACAACTTCCAATTCTGTAGGTAAGTTTAAGTCGGACTTGAAGAAAGATTATATATTAAATTGTACATTTATATGAAAGAACCATTGGGAAATTTTCGGTACCAATTTGCATCACCCCTCAATATGTATTGAGTAACCAATTCATAAAGGCCTCGTGCGTACACAAATGTTATAATACATTGACGAGAGAAACGACCATCAAACGATCGCTTAGTAGCAAGAATTTGCGCCTTTTTGTCGAACCATTCCTACCAGCTCTTGATTTCTGATCTTGCATGGCGAGAATCTCGATCTTTTTTGGTTCTTGGAGGTTGGGATCCTAAAGTATGATATAAGCATGGATGATTGAAAATGAAATAATGGATCAGGTGTTGGTAGCAGACACAGACTCAGCTAACTCCTCCAAGAGTTCTCTCTGCTCCATGGAAACACAAGACTGTGTAGTAAAGGAGAAAAAAATTCAGTTACTCAGTTGTTTCTGAGCATCAAGCAAGATTTATCTTCTCGGACAAGAAAGAAAATCACCTCGTATCTAACTGATTGATGATGAAAAAAGAATGATCACATGATTGACAATTGAAAACGGCTTTTTAGCGAAATGTTAGTTTGAATTGTTTATCACCCGAAAAAAATATAAACAGTAAAATGGGAATTACATACTACATCTCTGAGAGCAGCTAAATTTGAGTGTATGATATGTACAAGTGAAGAAAATTATCGCCTCCCCCGCCGACCGCTTCGCGAGGTTCGTCTGATGCCTCTTCCCCTGAGTATGCGCCAGGTAGTTCCCCTCATTATTGGGCAGCGTCAAGTAAAGCTTACACTCATAACTACAAAAATCAAGCACCAAGTTAGTCTAATTCTAGGGTTAGGGTTAGGGTTAGGGTTTTGGTACCTCCCGAGGTGGTTTAGCATGAAATAGGGGTCTCTGGTGAGATCGATGGTTTCTAGGGCGAGTCGCCGGAGATGCTCGCGGAGGTCGATGGCCTCATTTTGGGCGGAGGTGCCGCCGTCGCTCCCTGGCTTTAGTCCGCAATCTCGATCCATGGCCTCCTTTCGATTTTCGCGCTCGCTAAAGTCTGAGATTGATTATCCCCGGGGGTTATCAATAGAGGTCTTAACGGGTCGGGTTTGGGTCAAATCTTTGTAAGAAATAACCAATACCTATAGCAGAGTTAACGGGTTAGGTTTGAGTCGCGCATTATTATCATCAGAACCAATAAATATATCTTATTAGTAAAGAGATGTCACTAAACATGCTAATATAATAATTTAGTTCTTATTATTGTTACTGGGATAAATTTTGAAAATCAACCTATTTATAAAAATAATTGCAAAAATCGATATCTTTTCAACGTATTTGTCAAAATCGATTCAGTTTCAGCCATCTGGCTGAAACTGGATCGATTTTGACCAAAATCGATTCAGTTTCAGCCATCTGGCTGAAACTGGATCGATTTTGACCAAAAAACTTTCGAAACTTCACGGGACATCCCGTGAAGTTTTAGACCCTCTAATGAAATTTGATTAATGGTGCCAACTCTTTCACGGGAATTCAAGTCCCGTGAAATTTGTTTAAAACTTCACGAAGAAATGGGTCGATTTTGTTTAAAATTTGTTTAAAACTGGAAATTCAGCAGAAACTTCACGGTGAAGCTAAAACACTCCTTACAAGTTCACGGGACTTCACGGGACTTTAAGTCCGGTGAACTTACATAGGTTAATTACCTGGCTGCTAAACTTCATGGGACATGAAGTCCCGTGAAGTTTCAGACATTTTTTGGTCAAAATCAACCAGTTTTAGCCATCTGGCTGAAACTAGGTCAATTTTGACAAATATGTTGAAAAGAGATCGATTTTTGCAATTATTTTTGTAAATGGGTCGATTTTCAAAATTTTTCCTTATTACTACTACTATTGGGGTAAATTATGGATACCTCTTTACATATATACGTTCAGTAGTACTTATAACCAATCATCTTATTTCTTTAATATTGGTCGTCCTCAATTCATGAGGAAGTGAGATAAATAGTAATTTATCCATCTAATTTTCCCCCCGGATCCCTAATATTTTTATAATCTAACATACATTAACGTATTCGTGGAGAGAGTAACTTCTTCATCCTCTTCCTCCAAAACCTGTAGCTTGTTGAACTTTAAACTATAATCGATTGACTTGATAAAACTACCTGCTGATGTCCATGAACACACAGTCGAAGAGGGTCTTCCATTGATGATGAAGGTTGGGGGGATAAGAGACGGGGCCGACTCCTCCTCCGACTCTACGCCCGATTCTGAGAGCGCGGGGTGGACTGATAGCCTGCACATGTAAGAATCGTAGGAGTACGGGGCTAATTTCCCCCGTGGTACCTCCGATGGTCAAGTCATCCGATGAGCTTAAGGAGGGTTTTTTGAGAGGTCCCTGGGCCTTTGAGGTCCTTGCAGGGGGTTCCTCCTATGGAGTTATTAAATTTTCTCTTTATGTAAAAAGAAGATTCAGAGCTTTTTTCAAGAAGTAGCAGAAAAGAATCCTCTCCCCCTCCTTACCTTATTTCCCTCCTTTTATATCCCATCGCTTTTGGGAGTTTGACCCTTCGGCTTTAACTATGCACAGGAGGCGGTTGAGGGGTGAGTTGGAAGCTGAGTCATCTCTCTCCTTCCAAGTGTCAGCTGGTGGTTGGAAGGGAAGTCATTCGAATATAGGAGAGAGATGTCCTCTCGGTATCCTAGATTTGACAGATGAGGCTCGGTCGTCCTTCCCTCTCCAGATGGCGGTTGGTGATTGGAGGGGAAGTCATTCGAGCCCAGAAAAGCATCATAACGATCCCAGAGAAGTGACTTGGGAGTAGAATAAGCGGCTTGTGCAGGGGATTTGTCAGAGCAGAGATCTTAATGGGACTGATCAGTGCTGTTACGCTGATTAACATCTGAGGTGAGCTTAGCTGGATCTTATCCCCTTAGTAGAGGCGAGTCGGTTTGTGAGTTGTCTTTGTGATTTCCCAACTCGGTAGCCGAGTGAGACTCGGGTCGAGTGCATAATCGAGACGTCTGCTTGAGGAGTCATCTTGATTACGAGGGACCGACTGGTCCCGCACTTCGAGTCGGTAATGATGACCCTTGGTCAAAAATGACTTGTCTGCTTGACTGGTCGGTAGACTTGCCCTTGGCTGGGCATTTGAGCCTCTAAGCTGGTTTGGACCATGGTTTTTTAGCCCATGCAGACAATCTTTTGGTATCTTCATCTTTAGATGGTAAATTACCATAACACTACCTAAATTTGTATAATATAGGTTCTACAGTTCATTTAGTATAATTGTTCAATGGGTAAAAATCTACTTGATGCCAAACAATTTTCAATCACACGATCCAGTAACAATCGATCAATAGATTAAGACAACTCCCAATTCTGTAGGTAAGTTTAAGTCGGACTTGAAGAAAGATTATATATTAAATTGTACATTTATACGAAAGAACCTTTGGGAATTTTTTGGTACCAATTTGCATCACCCCTCAATATGTATTGAGTAACCAATTCATATAGGCCCCGCGTGTACACAAATGTTATAATACATTCACGAGAGACATGGCCATCAAACGATCGCTTAGTAGCAAGAATTTGCGCATTTTCGTTGAATCATTCCTACTAGCTCTTGTCTGATCTTGCATGGTGAGAATCTCGATCTTTTTTGGTTCTTGGGGGTTGGGATCCTGAAGTACGATATAAGCATGGATGATTGAAAATGAAATAATGGTTCAGGTGTTGGTAGCAGACACAGACTCAGCTAACTCCTCCAAGAGTTCTCTCTGCTCCATGGAAACACAAGACTGTGTAGTAAAGGAAAAAAAATTCAGTTACTCGGTTGTTTCTGAGCATCAAGCAAGATTTATCTTCTCGGACAAGAAAGAAAATCACCTCGTATCTGACTGATTGATGATGAAAAAAGAATGATCACATGATTGACAAGGACAAGAAAGAAAATCACCTCGTATCTGACTGATTGATGATGAAAAAAGAATGATCACATGATTGACAATTGAAAACGGCTTTTTAGCGAAATGTTATGATGATGAAAAAAGAATGATCACATGATTGACAATTGAAAACGGCTTTTTAGCGAAATGTTAGTTTGAACTGTTTATCACCCAAAAAATATAAACAATAAAATGGGAATTACATACTACATCTCTGAGAGCAGCTAAGTTTGAGTGTATGATATGTACAAGTGAAGAAAATTATCGCCTCCCTCGCCGCCCGCTTCGCGAGGTTCGTCTGATGCCTCTTCCCCTGAATATGCGCCAGGTAGTTCCCCTCATTATTGTGCAACGTCAATCAAAGCTTACACTCATAACTAAAAAAATCAAGCACCAAGTTAGTCTAATTCTAGGGTTAGGGTTAGGGTTAGGGTTTTTGTACCTCCCGAGGTGGTTTCACATGAAATAGGGGTCTTTGGCGAGATCGATGGTTTCTAGGGCGAGTCGTCGGAGACGCTCACAACAGTCGATGGCCTTGTTTTGGGCGGAGGTGCCGCCGCCGCTCCCCGACTTTGATCCCCAATATCGATCCATGGCCTCCTTTCGATTTTTGCTCTCGCTAAAGTCTGAGATTGATTATCCCCAGGGTTATCAATAGAGGTCTTAATGGGCGGGTTTAGGTCGGATCTTTGTAAGAAATAACCAATATCTATAAGGGACTTAACGGGTTGGGTTTGAGTCGCGCATTATTATCACCGGAACCAATAAATATATCTTATTGGTAAAGAAATATCACTAAATATGCTAACATAATAATTTAGTTCTTATTATTGTTACTGGGATAAATTTTGAAAATCAACTTATTTACAAAAATAATTGTAAAAATCGACGTCTTTTCAACATATTTATCAAAATCAATCCAGTTTCAGCCATCTGGCTGAAACTAGATCGATTTTGACCAAAAAACTTACGAAACTTCACGGGACATCCCGTGAAGTTTAAGACCCTCTAATAAAATTTGATTAATGGTGCCAACTCTTTCACGGGACTTCAAGTCCCATGAAATTTGTTTAAAACTTCACGGAGAAATGGGTCGCTTTTGTTTAAAATTTGTTTAAAACTGGAAATTCAGCAGAAACTTCACGGTGAAGCTAAAACACTCCTTACAAGTTCACGGGACTTCAAGTCCGGTGAACTTACACAGGTTAATTACCTGGCTGCTAAACTTCATAGGACATGAAGTCCCGTGAAGTTTCAGACATTTTTTGGTCAAAATCAACCCGGTTTCAGCCATCTGGCTGAAACTGGGTTAATTTTGACAAATATGTTGAAAAAAGATCGAATTTTGCAATTATTTTTGTAAATGGGTCGATTTTCAAAATTTGTCCTTATTACTGCTGGGGTAAATTACAGATACCTCTTTACATATATACGTTCAGTAGCACTTATCACCCATCATCTTATTTCTTTAATATTGGTCATCCTCAATTCATGAGGAAGGGAGATAAATAGTAATTTATCCGTCTAATTTTTCCCCCGGATTCCTAATATTTTTATAATCTAACATATAGTAACGTATTCGTGGAGAGAGTAACTCCTTCATCCTCTTCCTCCAAAACCTGTAGCTTGTTTTACTTTCAACTATAATCGAATTGACTTGTGTAAACTACCTAAATTTGTATAATACAGGTTCGACGGTTCGTTTAGTATAATCGTTCAATGGGTAAAAATCTGCTTGATGCCAAACAATTTTCAATCACACAATCCAATAACAATCAATCAATAGATCAATACAGGTTCGACGGTTCGTTTAGTATAATCGTTCAATTGGTAATTTTTTTACTAAACAGTAACGTATTTTCCTTTTGTCACCTCGCTAGAACGTAGATAGTTGACTAAGGAAATAATTTTGTAGCAAAAAAATCACTAAATTTCTTATAAGTAAAGAAATACCAAATTATTTCTACAAGTACAATTATTATTTCTTTTAATAAAATGTTGTGCATCATAGGTGTTCATTTGTTGAATTAATAAGATCTTAATGAAACGTATAAGGTCATCTGCATGGACTCATTAAAACATTGAAAATTTTAAATAACACCAACATCATAGCTTTTCTAACGTGCGACATCCTACATTATCTATATACTACTTATAAAAGAAAATTGGAATGTCAAACTTTTGATCGCCTCTTTTATCCTCTTAAAATTTGATAACTTCTATACTTAATCTAATCTAATTCCAATATGGTTTCGTAGAGTTTGATTGTTTGGTTATTTCCTAGAGTTCTTTACTTGTATACATTGATTCTTCATACGAGAATTTGTAAAGATTATGGATACAGTAATATTATAATACAAAGTTTCATGCATTGCACCGTTTGCACAAGGAAATAACAGGAAGTACCCTAAAAAGTATTATATTTGTGATACTTATAATAAAAATATTATAATATTTTATTTTTATAATATATTATAATATTATTTATATAATATTTATATTTGTAATGTTTGCAATACTTATTACATAAGTATTATAATATTTTATTTATATAATATATTATGATTATATATATAGGTAATAATAACATGTTACAGTAATGTATTATCATATAGTATTATATATATTGCTAAGAATTGGGGATCTAATAGCAATTTCAATGATTGGTTGGACTAATTTCCAAATACGATAGATTTAAGAGATTGATATGAGAAAACCCCCATATTATATGGTTATGTAAAATTCAAATATACTTGGCTGAATTTTTTTAAGAAATTTTAAGAAAATATCCTAACCCAAAGTTTATTATAATTATTTATTAATAAGATAAAATCTCAAGGTTCATATGAATGTTATAAGATAAAGCATAGATGACAAAAGATATACACTTCAAACCATCGAAAGAATATTAAGAAATATTTTGGGTGATCAAAGAATTTTCAATGGAACGATAGTTCATTAGAGGAGATTTCTGTCAAGTCCTATTTGTAACTATCTATGCTAAAGAACAAAAGTAATCATTACAAAAGTCTTATGAAATCATATTTTAGAGAAAAATGAAGAATTTTCTCTTAATCTCTCAGAGAGTTCTGGCTTCGAGTAGGTATGAAAAAGAGCCTATAATAGATGAGAAATTCATACATATGCCGAATTAAAATGTTCATGTGACAATGAGAATAGTTGTGAAAGAAAATTGATTGATGATATCTTGGATCATAAGAAGCAAATTCTGAAAGAAAAGAATTTCCTTACATCTCTTTTAACATTTTGCATAAGTACCTACTTTTCACCTTAATGCTCAATCATGTGTCAAACCTTTGTACTTGAAATATTTTGAACCAAAATTTTATCTATAATTACTTTGCACATAAACTAGAAATAATTATTTATTATTATATTCATTTTTTTATGATTTTTCTCTTTTTCCATGTTATCCATATATAAATTCTTTTATAGTCAAATTTAGAACATAAAACAATCATGTTTGCATGAATAATTATAACATGCATCACGTGCAACCCACGTATTGCATACTAGTGTTTTGAAAGTTTTTTAACTATTACGTATCATTTAGTAGTTAGATGGTGTAAGTAAGAAATCAAGAAAGATGGGTATAGATTTCCTCTGCTATCAACTCCAAGAACGGAGGAACATGAAAGGATGAAGCTAACAGGACTACATAAAACATAATTTAGCAATATTACATCACTCTAGATCAAATTTACACTCTGATCTTAAAAACAAAAACAATCAGTAAATAATATTTAGAACAAGTGAGGTATCCTTGCATATAAACTGTACAGCAACAAATTATTGAGCGAAAAACCCCACAAACCTGCCTTGATACAAACCCCCTGCTTCAATAAAGCAAAACGAAGAAAAGAATAATACGGGCTTCCACACAAATATACAATGAGCTTCACCGTGAAAGAACCACAATGCGTCTTACTTGTATAGATCACATATGAACAAAAATCATAGAACTTCCAAAGTTTTGCAGCTCAACAAATTAGGAACAAGACATTCCCCAATACTGAAACAGATGAGCCAATACCATGATGATTCTCAGTGTTCACTCCTACCCTTTGAGAAAAATCTGCTAAATCCCCTCCCATGTTTCTCTGCTGAGGAAGAAGACGATGATGATCTTGTCGCCCTGTGCTTTTGGTGCCTGGACTCGAGAGGTGATTTTGGAAATGGACCTGATTCAGTGTCGGGTGGACTCATGTAGGAGTTGTATCCATTTAAGGGGGATTCCCCTCCTGTGCTCAGTGCCACTGATGTAGTTATGTTTTCTATTTCAACCTGATCAAAGTGTTGTGGACTGAGCGTCATTTGTCTAATGGTAAAGCCACCGGCGCTTGGTTCATCTTCAAGAACTCCATCACTCATTAGTTGTCTACTGTTCGAAGAGGAGCCAAGAGATTCTGATGGAGGGCGCAGAGAATTTAGTTGCTTGCCAAGAAGAAATATGGTCTCCTGGCATTCTGCTAGCTTCTCTGCTGCGGCTGCAATCTCCCTTTCCTGTTATCATACACATGAGAAAGGGTTGAAGTAAGATGTGGAAAAATAACTCATACAGGAACAAGTTCATGGAGTTTCTAGGTATATAATACAAGGAACCATGTTAGAAAAAGTTTGCTACCAAAGCAAAGCTAATGATACATGTGTTCACATGCGCACATATGAACAAGCAAATAGGCAAAATTGGAGGAAATTGTATTAACAACTGAATTTTTTTTACATAATTTATTCATATGTTTGGACATAAAAGGGACCAAATATTAGGTTGGCAAACAGCACATATGATTAATAATAGAGGAATAAAGTGAAGATTGGGCATGCTATTCAAGTACGTGTTAAGAGACCAACCTAGAAAAATTAGATGGTGTCACATAGCATAGGCTCGTGAGTGATGAATATATCAATAGTTATTCCACTATGGTAAGTAGAATTGTAGCATGGTGAGATCCTTTTCAGGTACTCTCATTACTAAACCTTTTGAACGTTATATCCACACAATTACAAGAATTATGACAATTTTAAAAGAATCTTCAATAGAATGTTTAAGTTTAGCATATATTTTATAAGAGTGTTGTTTCTTGGGTGACACGTTAGATAGTCATCTAAGGAATCTGCATAAATCTTATTTTTGGACCAGCCAAATTGAGATCCACGGTTCATTGTGATCTCTTTATCTTGCAGTGGTTGTACTAATATGTAAATCCTGATACAAATCAACCACGCAACAAAGTGTTGTAAAGTGGAAAGTTCATAAATAACAAAACAAATAAGAAAATCAAAAAAAACCACTCCATTGATGGTTTATGAGAGTCCAATTTACGAAGTTTCATGCTCGAAATGAGAACTATGCAACCACATGTATGTGCAGCGTATATGAGAGTCCAATTTACGAAGTTTCATGCTCGAAATGAGAACTATGCAACCACATGTATGTGCAGCGTATATTTGCATTTGCAAATTTGCTTATGTAAATCGAAATGAGAACTATGCAACCACATGTATGTGCAGCGTATATTTGCATTTGCAAATTTGCTTATGTAAAATGGTTTTTTGTCATATTAGACACCCTCCCTCCCTCCCTCCCTCCCTCCCTCAGATATTCTACCATATCTTAAAATTTCTGGATTTTCTATAGGCGGAACATATGTTTCAGCTCTGTCATGTTGTTTTGAAGTACTTGCTTCATCACGTAAAACCACAGATGTAGCAGATTCTTCTCCTATATGATAAATAATGTGAGGCTTATTTTGTATATTTTCTTCGTCCGAGTAATCAGACATTTTTTGAGTTTCAATAGAATCTAAAGTGCTTTTATCAGGGTAAAATATTCATCAGAAGAAAAAAAATTAAGATAGATGTTCTAGAAATTGATAAGATTTATGATGAAGCCTTCCAACATCTTAGACAAAAAGAACTTGAAGGAATAATTGATAGCCGGGATCTCTCTCTCTCTCTCTCTCTCTCTCTCTCTCTCTCTCTCATGGAAAAAGGTACTTTGTTCATGTTGGATGGCAGGTTCCTAATATGTTTCCTAATTTATTTTGGTAACAGGTTATTGTGATTCCTAATCTGTTTTGGTAACATGTTATTAGGATTACTAATCTGTTTTGATAACAGGATTCCTAATCTGTTTTGATAATATGTTATTAGGATTCCTAATCTGTTTTGTTTTTTTGTTTTAGAATTCCTAGTATGCTTTTGGTTTTAGGATTTCTATATATATATGAACACGTTTTAGGTTTGGGGAGCAGAAAATTGAGGATATTTGGAGCATAGAAAAAATGTATTTTTTGAGCTATTGGTTAGGGTTTTGTTTGGAGAGAATTAGAGATTTGTTGGTGAGATTAATTGGTGAGTTTGAGTGATTTGTAATCTTAGTTTCTATTTTTCTTCTCTATTAGTGAAAACTCTTATCCCCTTCTTGCCCCGTGGACGTAGGCAACTTGCTGAACCACGTTAAAATTGGTTGTTTGTGTTTGTGACATTGATTCGGTTCATTTGGCCTTCTCTCGACGTTCGTTTGATTTGATTTCTCATAGTACATTGGTTTGGTTGTTTAGCTTCCGCAGCGCACAATAAGTGGTATCAGAGCTCGGGTTACGTTTGGGCTATTTGGATGAGTAGATCGCTTTGGAAGTTCGTCTAGAGCTTCGTTTGGTGATAAAAGTGGGATCTTTTTGGTAAAGACTATCTTTCTCAAGTTTGGATCTATTCTTCAGTTTGTTCCGCATTGATTATTGGTGTGTTGAGGAATATAGCCGGGAAAGAAGGTGTTGAGGGTGGTACTTCTGGTGTGAACTGAAGACCATTCAAAGTTTGAATATCCACTCTATGAAGATAGATGTGGAGAAGTTTAATGGCACGAACAACTTTGGACTTTGACGATGCGATGTTTTAGATGCGCTGAACGCGCAAAATTTGGAGGATACTTGTGAATTAGTTGGCAAGCCAGATGATATTGAAGAGAAGGTTTGGAAGAAGATGAATCGGACGACGTGTATTGTTATTAGGTCTTGTTTAACACAAGATTTGAAGTATGATGTGATGAATGAGACTTCTGCAGAGAAGATTTGGGAGACCCTTGAGATCAAGTATTTGACCAAGAGTGTAAAGAACCGCTTGCATTTGAAGAGGAGGCTTTATCGCTTCCAATTGAAGAAGTGGACCTCCATTGGTGATCACATGAACCACTACATGAAGCTTCTTGCGAATTTGGCGAATGTAGATGTGATGATTGAAGATGATGACAACGCGTTGTTGTTGTTGAGTTACTTACCTGACGAGGAATATGAGACATTCGTTCTTACTCTTATTAATGAGAAGACATCTCTTTCTAATAGTGAGGTCACCGCTGCACTTGTGAATTATCAGCTTCGAAAGAAGGATAATGAGACTTCAGTTGAGTCGGTAGCGGGGACATTGGTCGCAAGAGCAAAGAGTCCAAACCGTGGTAGGAGGTCGCAATCTAGAGGGGCACATCTTGGAGTTCATAGGAATCAGTGTGTATTTTGTAAAGAGGGTGGACATTGGAAAGTCAAATGCCCAAAGTTGGTTTATCGACCCGGAAAAAATATGAAAAAAACTATTCAAGCTTCAGAGGTGAATGTTGTCAATGCTAGTGGTAATAATTCAGATTCAGATTCTTCAGGCTACTCGTTATCTGTACTACCGTCAGTTTGTGTTGCCGACTCTACAGAGTGGATATTGAATTCGGGTGCTTGTTATCATATTTACCCTAGAAGGGATTGGTTCTCCAACTTTTAGGAGTTAGAAAGAGAGGATATTGTGCTCATGGGTAATGATCATGAATGTCCTATTGGTGGTATCGGTACTGTTCGAATTAGGATGAGTGATGGAGTGATTCGAGAGGTGATTGGAGTGAGATTTGTTCCTCAGTTGAAGAAGAACATCATTTCATTTGGAGCTTTGGATGTAACAGGCTATAGGATGATCTTGGTGGATGCACGTTTGAAGATCACATTGAGGTCCATGATTGTGATGAAGAGCGAGAGCGTCAGGAGGAATAATTTGTATTATTTGATTGGGAGCACGGTGTTTGATAAAGAGCTCAGCTGACAATTTCTTTGGATTTGGCTAGACTGTGGCATTTGTTGAGGCTGAGTTATTTGATTAGTTATGTCGTGCATGGTTTGTTGAGAAGTGCTTTGACCTGCAGATTAAAGTCCTTTAAGCACATTTGTATGAGCAAGAAGACCGAGACGGAGTTTGGCACTTCTATCCATCGATCGAAGAGTCTTTTAGGTGGTGTTCAGTCAGGCATTTAGGGGCCTTCCAAAGAGGCATCATTAGGAGGTAATCGGTATTTGGTTTCCGTAGTTGGGGATTGTTCTAGGCATTGGTAGGTTGCAATCAGGTCTCATTGGTGTGAAGTCCTAGAAGTCAACAACAATTGAAAGAAGTGTATTGACAGAAAGGTAATCCATCGTTCTAGCTTTGGTAGGGGTTCCTTCTTGCATTTGAGTCGAGCTCATAGCAGTTTGAGACACTTCATTGATGTGGAGACATTGGGGCGACGAGATGAGATGACAGTTTTGATGGGTCGTTCCTTACTGGAGGGGGATCGGCATTGGTTATCGAGCATTAGTTTTGGTTTTGGAACTTCGACATATTTGAGCCATCTTAGTCATAGGTTACCGACTGCTGCGTGTGGAGATTTTGGATCTGGTGAAGCTGCTTCAGATTTTGGGTTACGTCGGATATTTGGTTGTCCAGCATTTGGTCACATTGAGGATGTAAGATTTGATCTGATTGCACGTTTGAGATTCATAGGTTCATTTGATTATCAGTTAGGAGCTTCTGATTTTGTTCTGAACAGGTATGTCACTTTTGACTCTCGGCAGGTGAAGAGTGTTGATCAGGTTATTTGAATATCGCAGCAGGTGAAGGGTGATGCTACTTCACATTGGGTGGAGATTACTCCACATACTCCAGATCATATTGCATCGTTTGGGATTCTAGCTGAGGTGACACAGTTTGAAGATCATTTGGATTTGGATGTAGATGATGAGTTGGTTTTGGATTCGAGTGCAGCTGGTGGACATGTTTTGGATACGGTCATTGATTCATCTCAGGTGGAGATGTTTGATTTGTTTCAGTTTGGGGCTATTGGGAACGCTACCAGTTACAGATCCGTTGGTGATATTGGTGAAGAGCTGCAAACTTTTCTATTTGATTGAGGGTCTTTGGAGGCCGTTTGGGGGAGCTACGTGAAAGCTTGATTCCTTGGGCAAGAGGATACGTAGGCAGTCATTTTATGATGCAGCTAATTTGGTGAGTTGATACCGACATTTGGAGTTTGTTCACATTCACGTTTGGGTCTTGATTTGTTGTGAATTGAGTCCGTTGTCGTGGATTTGTTCCACTTCGTACTGGACACAACAAGTGGGATATTTGTTTGGTTGGTGTCGACTCAGTTTTGAAAAAACTTTGTCGAGGTGGAGAATTGTTGGATGACAGGTTCCTAATATGTTTCCTAATTTATTTTGGTAACAGGTTATTGAGATTCCTAATCTGTTTTGGTAACATGTTATTGGGATTCCTAATCTGTTTTGGTAACATGATTCCTAATCTGTTTTGGTAATATGTTATTAGGATTCGTAATCTGTTTTTTTTTTTAGAATTCCTAGTATGCTTTTGGTTTTAGGATTTCTATATATATATAGGAACACATTTTAGGTTTGGGGAGCAGAAAATTAGGGATATTTGGAGCACAGAAAAGAGGTATTTTCTGAGCTATTGGTTAGGGTTTTGTTTGGAGAGAATTAGAGATTTATTGGTGAGATTAATTGGTGAGTTTGATTGATTTGTAATCTCAGTTTGTACTTTTCTTCTCCATTAATGAAAAACCCTATCCCCTTCTTGCCCTATGGACGTAGGCAACTTGCCGAACCACGTTAAAATTGGTTGTTTGTGTTTGTGGCATTGATTTGGTTCGGAACCACGTTAAAATTGGTTGTTTGTGTTTGTGGCATTGATTTGGTTCGTTTGACCTTCTCTCGACGTTCGTTTGATTTGATTTCTCGTAGCACGTTGGTCTCGACGTTCGTTTGATTTGATTTCTCGTAGCACGTTGGTTTGGTTGTTTGGCTTCCGCAGCGCACAACAGTTCATTCTATATCAAACCGTCAAATCTCTATATTTCTAAATTAGTCCCCTGAATCTTTATATTTGTTTGAAATGGGGGTCTTATTAAAACAACTTAACAAATTTGCGGGCCTTATTTAAAAAAACTTAATGGATTTGGGGTTCTAATTTTAAAACATAAAGATTTGGGGGTTTATTGTAGAAATAACAGAGTTGGGGGTCTAATCTAATATAGCAAAAACCCAAAAGAAAAACTATAATGGCAATATTATTAAAAAATTTAAAGTGGTCCATTAGCTATTATGCCCCTGTATATGCATGCGCATAAGGAATATGCAAATATTATCGGGTCTGAAATTTTGGATCCCATACTTATTTGACTTAAAAAGTGATATGTGCATGACACATGCATATGTGCATATACAAATGCACAGATACGCGCATGCACAGTCACCCACCCAGGCGTGTGCATGCACAGACACACATAGGTAGTGTGCGCACGTGTGCCTGTTAGGGGTATGCGTGCCGGCGTGTGTGCGTACACACACCCTGTCTTTCTTTGCTCCTCTTTCACATTCCTCCTCTCAATTCAATTCTGCTCTCCTAAAAGAGTTTGCATTACGACAAGGTTTTTTGCATGTGTTGCTGATATGCAAGAAGATCAATCTTGAAAGAAATGCATGGAGAAATAATAGTTCAAAAGTAAGAATAAAATTTTATAAGGTTTTATCATGATAAATTTCATGTACCCTAGAAAGAAATTAGCTGGCTAAATGATTCTTTTCCTTGATGTACAGCATGAAGAACTCATGGGAATATGGTGCAGACCTTGCATCTCAAATGCACATGCAAGATTATCTACATATAGAAGGTTAAGTTCTTAAGATTTAGGCCCATGCATGTTGGATTAGAACCTGATTGTGACCTTCATGGAATTATGTGAAGATCTACGGCAAATTGGTAAAGTCGCCTTCAAAATAATCAAGACGTAAAGGGAACAGTGAAACTTTTGCATCTTTAAATATATAAATGAAAAGTTATTTCCATACCTGTTGTGTCTGGGTATCAACGTCAGCATCTGTATCCACTGTGCTCTTGCTATTCCTTCATATAAATGTGCAAGCAAAGTTAGATGTGAAAAATTGATGGGGATGCCAATCAGTCTTGACAGAAACAAAAACATTAAGAAAATGTAATAGTGACATGAATCAAACTTATCATATGACGCTACAGAGAAAAGACAACAATAAAGATTTCTTCTTTAGCAAGATATTTTTCTATTTTTTGAGTCTAACCTTTCCATCTGGTCCTGGAGTTCTTTGTATTTGGCAAGGTCATCCTGATGACTGTTCTTTTCTTCTTGAAGCTCTGCTTCCAGCACTTCTAACTTCGTGCGCACCAGGTTTAATTCAGTTTCCAATTCCTGCTTCTGTGATTCAAGTGTCTTGTAGGACTCAGCCATGCATTTCAACTGTGTCTCAGCCAAGCTGTTTGATTTCTCACTAGCAGCCAGTTGTAACTTGATTTCTGACAGGAGTTGTTTCATTCCAACCAATTGATGATTTGTAAGTTCCAACGTTTCTTTGCATTTAGCAAAATCGGTCTCGACACTCTCTTTTTGTAGTTTAAGCTGTTCAAACTCCTCCAAGGAGCATGCCTGCGGTGTAATCTTTAGTTCACAACTTAAGTTGTGTCCTTCAATGTCAGGATCAGAGGAAGAATGAGTATCAAGCATGCAGCCTCCTGAGAATTTCTCCTTTTCATGTTCATGCAGAGCCACTTTATTCTCTAGCAATGTCACTTTGTCTATGCAGTCAGAATTATAGCTTTCCCCTTCATTGCACTTATAACTTGGCATAACATAATTCAATAAATCTTTTTTGGAGAAAATATTTGACAGGGCCAGAAGAAAATCGGTCACACTTTCTTTGTCACAGAGAACTTTGTCAACAGAAGCAGAGAACTTCTCAATTCTCTCAGTTAGTTCTCTATCATCAGAAGGTCTGCTTGTTTTAGCTTCTTTACCAATTGATAGAACAAAATCATGGATTTGCAAGATGGCATCCTTCAATTCTTGAACCATCACATGCTTAGCTTCTTGCTTCGTCATTGCCCCACTGTCTTTAACTTCTTCTGTGCGTTCATCATGTTCTTTCTGTATACAAGAATTAGTAGAATGAGTTTCACTGGCAACACAATCTACCAAATTCTGAGGTAACTCTTCATGTGTATTCTGCACAATACGTTTGATATCCTCTAACAGTTTTTCCATATCAGCACTCTGTGATTGAGATTCAAATAAAGTGGCCATCCTTGATTGAAGTTTTGAGAGGGTCGAACCATATTTATGTGATGACGACTCATGAGCTGGTTGATCTGTATTAGAAGAGACCAAAGTTTTCGGGAGCTCCACAGTTATTTGTTCGCTACCATCCTCATGCTTTGAAACATCAACAGGTTCAGTCTTCAGATTATCAGTTGCGCCATCTGAAACAGTGATGCTCCCATTGGCTTCAGTAGACTGACATGCTAACCTCTCCATCTCCAGAAAGTCATCCATAAGTTCCAATTGGTTTGAATTCTCCGACTTCTTACTGCTGTCCACATTTTTCTCTTTCTTGAACTGTGAGAGTTCAGACATTAATGCAGTAGCCCAGGACTCAGAACAGCTTCCTTCATCATCAATACCATCTTCAGACATGGAGGTTAAACTTGGTGGCTTGCTTTCAATTTCTACTGGGATTTCAGTTATTGATTTTGTCGGACTTTTTTGTTGGTTCATTACAAGCAAATGTGATTCAATGCTGCGAAGCTTGTTTGAAGTCTTAGCACACATATTACGGGAGGCCTGCAGTTCACTGTTGCGCTTTGACAAGGCCTCCTTTAGCATCTTCATTTCTTCCTCCATCGTTAATAAGCGTGCTGTGAGAAATTCATTTTCTTTGCGGCATTGATGCATGTTTTCAAGTGCAAAGTCAGAAGGAGATACGTGATGTGGGCTTGAACTTCTAGCAGGAGATCGTCGTAATCTAGTTTCCCCGTAGTCTCGACCTAAACTTTCGACTTCTAACTTCATTTGAGCTAGTGCAGCAGGGCCAGGCAACTTCTTTCGAACAAGACCACGCAATCTCTGGCATTCAGCTTCCAGTTTTGTAATTTTTTTGACATCTTCCAAGTGTTGTTTGTTCGCAACTTCTGCAGACCGCATACTCATGTTCTTTTCTTCATTACGAATCTCAAGCTCCTTTGCAACAACATGGAGTTCATATTTCAGTGAATTTATTTCCCTCTCACAGGACTGTATGTCATTCTTCATTACCTCAATCTCAGCATCAGCCTGGGACTTTTCATCACTGATCTTCATCAACATGTTGGAACGTTCTTGGAGAGTTCTTGAGAGCGCAGCAATTTCAGCAGAAGATTTTAAAAGCTCTTGTTCAGAACCAATAATTTTTGCTTCCAGCTCAGCCTTGGCCTTTTCCCACTGCTTGGTTTTTGCAAAGACTACATCGTGCAACTTTTGCTCACCCTCTTCCTTCACACTCCGTACCTGCTTCATGCACTCCTTCAGGGCACCATCTAAGTGAGATGCTCGATCTTCAACAGTAAGTTTCAGCAATGTAACAGATTCTAGTTGTTGCTTCAATGTTAGGGCTTCTGCTTCAGCCTTCTCCCAACCTATAAACAAGAAGAAACACGGTATCCCACACAAAAACATAAGTACTCAGCATGAAAAACACAGTTTTGTCAGACAAAAAGAACCTTACGTAATTTGCAATCTAAAAAAAAATCCGAGGTATTGAAACATTCGCAAATAAAATATGTGGGAAGAGCTTAACATTACCACATTTCCATACCTGAGACTGCTTCCTCAGCAACTTTCGCATGTTGTTTCACTAGGCTATCTTTAGTGATCATTTCAGATTGGGCTGAGGATAACTTTCCATTTAAATCGGATACTTTTTCATTAAGCATCTTCACTTGATCCTCCAAATTAGTTAGATGTGCATATGACTCCACAGAAATTTGTACATATTTTATAGTCTTTGTATCATCCTGCCAGAGGTATAAATCAATTAGTAGAAGAAATGATTGCCTTAACTGTGAACAATGAAATAAACTCAAATACTCCAGAAAATAGATTAATTTGCTTTGAATAAAAACAGTGTAAATGTTCTATGGAGACGGTAGGTTCAGAGTCGATCGTGAACCTTAGTTGAATTTTCAGGAACTTTATTTTGCTTAAATTAATTTGAATTTAGTTAAGTATAGGAACAAAAATTAAGAGCTTAAAACAGTCAATATGGCATAAGACCGTCACACTGATTTCTTATACACCAACAGACACACAAAAACTAATTGGAAGAGATTGCATAAGTTTATCACCAACTCCACATGTACCCACACACAAACACAAATTAAAATAAGAGTGCATCACAAGCGGGATGAGAGCATAGGTTTTTTCCAAGTGAAACTTGATTTAATCCATGAATCAATTTGTAATATAGTTTCCTACTGAATTAACTTCAAGCTCCTTCCTTGTTAAAAAATAATAACAATAAAGAAAATCGAAAATTTGGAGGAAAATTTCAACAATTTTATTATATTCGTTTTAGTATAAGACATAGAAGATAAAACAAATTTTAAACCGTCATGTAAAAGAAAATATTTCAGCTTCATGTTACTTCATTTTCCTTTTAAAACTTGACGAACCTATAGGATATTTCTAACATGATCAATATAAGATTTTTATCTAAAGGAATTTACTAATTTAGTACCATGACCAGTGAGTCTACTAGTGATATAACAGAAGATACTTTGCTAGTACAAACAATATTGCACAAATTCTCATCCCTTCTCTGTAAATGACCTAATTTAAGAGGATTATAACAGCTTGTGCATTGAACAATATCACCACATAATATACAACCATATAAAGATGGAAAAAACCATCAGCACTGTCAGAGCAAAGACACGAGTGAATTCCATGGACAGAAAATAAAAACAGAAACTCACCAAAGAAAAGTGTTAGCCAAGTTGGCATTTAGATGTAAGTTAACAAAAACTAAGTGGATTTGATACCTTCACAAGTAAACAGTAAGTTATCATGTTAAGAAAGTATGTATGTATCTGCAATGATTCATCCAGTTAATACATCAACACCCAAGATGATAGGGGAATCATGCACCAGGTCTGTCAGTTTAGGTCTTTCAAGTATTCATCTATCTATGGGTTTAACCATTTAGCAAATGAGGAATATAATAATGTCGAAAAATAACTCAATGATGGAATTTTTAATGGATTATGCCCCCAGTGGTTTATATGAATGTGAATAACTTGAATCATGTCCCTTCGCTAAGATTGAAAGTTGATCCATTATTCCTTATCTGATAACTTGTAGCACACGTAACAAGAAATGTTGTTTGAGACTAGAAAGATAACAATAAAAATATCATGAAACTTTTGTAAGTTTATTGGACACTTTGCTCCCCATATAAAGTGTGGCAAAGTGGTTATACGCATTTTCTTCACCCATGAATTTGGGAAGAAGAGTACACCCGCCACTATATACATAATCAACACTAAAAAGGAAAAGAATATAGAGTCATCAATATTTTACACCATGCACTCCAAGGATGACTCGAGGTTTAATCACAGGTGATAAGGTTGGAATTTGCAGCACATTAAATACTGAGTAAATTTCATCTTAGAGAGAAAAGCATGTGAAACAGAAAGAAAGAAAGAAAAAAAAAACTCTTGAAAAGAGAACTAAAAGTAAGCTAGGAGTTGATTGAAGAAACTTTGTTTTCTATTTCCTCTCCAACTCCTAAAGAATGTAATAAGACTTAACTGATTTGAGAAAGCTTTCATGTTCACTTCCTCTAGCTCATTTAGCATTAGTCATCAAATAACTTTCCCGTTGATTTCATTATTTGTATTACAAGAATCAAAATTGAAGAGAAGGAAATAGAATACTGTAATAATAAGAACCTGATCTGTTTTAGCATTGCCTGAACTTGCCAAGGAAGAACTATTGTTATCTGTTGAAGTTACTGTTTTGTCAGAACTTTTCTTCTTCCAAGGCCAACTTCTTCGGTCCATTTCTCAACTATGTGACCTAGAGATGGATGAAAACATAAAAAATCATTGATCTTATCAGGTAATGAAAAAGGAATATGAGATTAAAAAAAAGAATCCGAGAAAAAGAAACCACAGCTCTTCCTCAGATAATAATTAAGGTACAATGTACGTTTACAAGGGAAAAATTGGAAATAATGGTATGAGATAATGTATGAAGAGAAACTAGAAAGATAGTTATTCAAAAAAAGAAAGAAAACTATAAATTTTCTAAAATTATATTGAAGAGGATGGGGTGAAGTGCAGGCGAAGGTACTGCAGTCAAACAGAAACATATGCATTCCAAATTTTTGTGGTTTCCTCAATTTAGCCAAAGAATTAACAGAGGCCATACAAGTTAAACAGCATACTTCAGGAAATTCTCAACAGTTAGCAAGGCATATCAAAAGTGGGATTCAGTATAATACATAAGTTAGGAGAAGTTGACATACTACAGAAAGGTTCTAAAAAATATGAAAAGGAAGCAGAAATGTCCTAAAGGATGTTTTCTATCTCGTATACATATGGAGACCTATATCTTTATCTATCTAAAGGATGTTTTCTATCTCGTATACATCTGGATACCTATATCTGTATCAATCTATCTGTGTGTGCGAGCATGTCACAGGGATCCCACACAAAAATGTTGTAACCTGAATTTGATTGATAAGCAATGGTTAATGTTTGGAAGGGAGAAGAACCACAAAAAATAAAAATAAAAATTGAAACTCTACAAAATTGCAGGGAAGATGCTTCTCAATTTGTTCTTAGATGAGATGGCTTAAAAAATTGACAAGGTTTTCAAATCTCAGGGAATTGCAAATGCTGCATGGATTTCATCCATCCACCGAAACAGAAAGGCATGGTGAAATTATTATGGGAAGATGTAATAATGCACAAAGTTAAAATGAACTTTAACAAATTTAAAATGAACTTAAACAAATTTAAAACAGCAAAACCATCATTGTTTCGTATTGAAAAATGAAATCATCAGCTCACTAAAATTTGAAATTAACATTAACTTATAATTCATTGACCTCTAAAGAATCAAAACCATACAATAATTTCACATGAAAATCATTGGTTTTAAGTTCAAGCAACATACCATCTAAAATTGCAAAGCGAAACACATGTATATGAAGGACAACACCAATTACACAACATATTTCCTCAAATTACATCTTTTTCCTTTTTTGTAAAATGACGGTAAAGTTTTAGCAATTGCTATTCTTCCGCAACTGACCGCTTTCCTCCAAATAATATCACCAGGAAATACAACTTCCCAATTAAACTAACAACTCAAAACCATTCAATAATGATAATACTTATAACCCAAGTAAAAAATAACTCCGCATAAATGTGGCCACATGAACAACTTCCTCTTTGAAGAAAGCTCAAAACCCAGCACAAAAGAGGACAAAGGCAACAGCTCAGGCAAAATTAACCCACCTCGCAAAATTTCAAGAATTGAAGAGCAACAGACAGAGCGATGCCTAGCAGATGAACAGTTTGCTATTTCCCTTATAAAAATAAGTGGCGTATCCCCTTGCACATGATAGAGCAAATTACTAATTACGGTCTGCACCCGGCAAAATACAAGAAATTGACAGTTCCAGTCCAAACCCCAAAACACAAAAAAAAAAAAACGTACTATCCCTAGTGAAGAAAGAGTACTACTCAAGAAACGCTTTTCAAAAGCTGGTCCCGATTTCTTTATTTAGCTTTACTTTTAAATTAAAACTTAAAGCAAAATCAACATATGTACAGTTTGATCCTATTCAATCAACATCAAATGCAGGAAGAAACGGATCAATTATCTTCATAATTTGAGAATTTAAACTTTTGATCAACCAGTTGAGATCAAAGATCACTGAAATCGCTAGTCCCAATTCTAACCCAAAAAACAGCAAGAAGATGACATCGAATTCAAAGGGCAAAAAATAATAAAAATAATAAAAAAATAATAAAAAAATCAATAAAACTCGTGGAGATCGAGAAAGCGGCTCACCTGAAGGAATGCAGATCTACAAAAGCTCGATTGATGAATTTGGTTCCAATTTTGCTATGAATTGAGTTGGTTTCCTTGGATAAGAAGCGAGCTAAAGAGTAAAAAAAAAAAGACTTTTTTTTTTCTTTTCTTTTCTTCAAGCTCTGTTTCTTTCTCTGTAGACTATAGTTGGGCTTGTGAGCTGGCGGAGGGTAGAGGAGGGGCAAATAAAATGAAAAGGCAAAAAAATATATTGGAGGAAAAAGGGGTTTAAAAAAAAAGAGGAAAGAGAAAGTGGGGGCTGGCAATATTCGCGTTAGGTGAGACATATAAAAGCGAGACGTTGGGGGACGGATGGATCCAAAGCCGCTGTCTAATTCGATCAATGTATCTTCTGCATTAATTAATCACCTGATTAAGGTAACTAATGACACGAATTAGAGGTCTAACCACTCCTTATGACCTGTGAACTAATTATGACCTGTAATTGCCGGTGCACTTTAGCAGCCAGCTCATTGAGCTAAGTACATGAAGGGGAGTGGATTTATTTACACGCTTCTTTTATTGCGGGTTCACTCCCCTTTTCGGGGAAAAGAATGTTGTATTATTATGGGATGAAGTATCCGGGTGAACGCGGTTCTTAGATATATAGGTGCAAAATAAAAAAGTGCCAATATCAATTAAACTATTACAAACACTTCAATAACTAACCAGAATTCTGTACCAAAATTTGTTTAAAACTCATCTTTTACGCATGATTTTCAAAGAGGTCCCTCTATTTGAAAATCTTCCCCTTTTTGCAATCCAATCAGACAGGGTAGCCGTACATTGTGCGTACTTATATCTACCTAGTGAAAATAATAGATGTATAAAATACGACACCAGCCTAGGAATTGAGCTGTTCGGTTTAACCGGTTACTGCCGGTCGATGAATTCGGACACCTTCGATGAAGGGGGGCATGCGCATTAACTACAGATGAATCTGTTGGTAGTTAGGCTAAGTTTGATGTTTTCCTTTTTTTTTGAATTAAGGGTAAACTTTTTTTTTTAATGTTTTGTTTACTGTACTCAGTCACAAGTCGACGTCGGTGCCTACATCGCCCACTAGCTCTATATCTGATGTGTCACTATTCATTTTGTGGTCCTGTTATATAAACATTTTGGATCATCTGATCAAATCCATAACTTTCCGTTAACGATGATAAAATTGTGTTTGTGCCCAAAATTCGAGAGTTATTTATCTTTCAACACCCAAGGATGCCGTTTGACAAGGGGAGTTAGCTTGTCCTTTGAATAAAAATGGACGTAAATGGATTTTGATTTTAAAATTTGTGGGCATGAAAGAAATAATTCCAAACTGGGACTAATTTCGCCTAGAAGCAATTCTACTTTATGAGCTGACTTTAAAAGTGGTTAGGACGTCCATCACTTTCGAAAATTAGATGAAAACCCAAGCAGCGATCCGCTCCAAAAGAAATGAGTTGGGACTCTCAAACGACTGTCTTCTCCTATAAAGAGACTCAACCCCCATTAGAGTTTTTTTTTAGGTCACAAAAAGAAACAAACGAATAAACATTAGCAAATCATCATCTTTTATTTTTATTTTTCTTTTTCTTTTTTTAATTATAATAAAACAATCTTTTTATGTCCGTTGTGCCAGAGTCTGCCAGAGTCGCTGATATTTTTGGTAGCGGAACTAGTGGAATTGTTGATTGCAAATCAAGGTATCCATCCTCAATCCAACCGCTTAAAACAAATTATTATTTTAATTCCCTAGTGATAACGTGGTCCCCATCCAGTAACATCATTTTTTGAAAAAAAAAATGATAATATAGAGAAATAATAGCCCAAGAAAACAATATTTATTTCCACCCAATAAATTGCAAATAAAGAGAGATACCCAACACGCCAACTTTTGGCGACTGCAGGCCCCCACACAAAAGCTTAAGCATTGATTGAGGACATAATGTGCGTGGAGATTCGTGCAAGATTTTGGATTGAGCTCTCGCTCGTGGGGAGGAGCGCAAAAGGAACCCGATGAAAAAAAAGGGAAGGGCATGCGTGCTCCGAAAACTTCCAACCTGGACTCGATCGTCTCCAAAGACCGGCACTCTTCTCCATTACTCTAGAGTTTCAAGATAACCGTAGTACCGAAACTGCCCTTCGTACTTATGTATGCTAAATTAAATCATGCTCTATTCACGTCACGATTATGGGGAAAACAACAATAATTAATGTTTTACTCTAATCACGTCCGAATGTGGAAATGGCGAAAGAGTACGATGTTATTATGATCTTGTCTTGTTCGGGATTAACCTTAAACTTGAGTCTTTGATGGTCCAATCAAATCCTATATATGATCAATTAACTAAAGATATACACATATTTCATGTCCTGAAAGTGCGACTACAGAACCTTATAATTGTCAAGGGGACATGTCTTCTTAGTAATATAAACAGAGATTGGATAATGACCTGTCTTATACTTAAATTGGAGTTTTAAAAGGGAAAATAAAAAATAAAATGTAGGAGAGATTTGTTTAAAAAAAATTTTATGATCAAGTTTCAAAGCAATTACAATTGAAATTTTTAGGAAACTCCGTGGAGTTAAATAGTTGTAGTACCTTGGTTTAATTTTCAATATTTATAATTAGAAGGTGTTTGTTATGCAATATCATGTCTTTTAGAAATATCATTTATCTCAAAAAGTTTGCAAATATGACCTGCACTCAAATACACATAAAGCCGTTGGCCTTAACTACGAGGAAGTTGTCTCGCATCCATTTGGTTGTGTGGGGTTTGGTTTAGAAAAAAAGCATGGAGTGGGATTATTTCCAAATCGGAGAGGGAGTAAGATGGACATGTTTGTGTCAAAAGTTGCTCTCGTTGTGGAATTCATTATATCTTCGATCGATTACAACAAATTCAAAAGAAATAGCCTTTTTATAAGACCTCTTTTACACAACAAAATGAAAATTATAACTTTTTAGAAACAAACGCAGGATCGTTGTTTGGATCGCTGCTTGCGTGGGATCTTTGCCTGTGCCGGGAGTGCTTTGACTCGTGGACCACCAAATCACAGATTCTGATTGAATCGTGAGGGGTTTAGTGATTCTTCCTTCGTTTATCGAAGTAGGAATTTGAAGTGAAGATCTTATCAAAGTAAGACGATCACTCTTCTTAAGATCAAGTCAAAGCTCGAATCTCAAGGAATTGCCAAAAGCTTAAGTACTCTGCTCTGTCTGCTCTATCAAGTGCTCAGCGATCAACCCCTCTCAAAAATCGATCTCAGGGGGGTTGTTTGTGGGAAAATTTGCAGTAAAAGAAACGAAGGAAAATTGATTTGTATTCCTTTAATCTCGATTACAATTGGATTTCCTGATTACAAAAGAGAAGAGAATGAATGTGATTCTCCCCTTTGTTTAATTCTGGGTTCTTCACGGTGGCGATGGAGTACCTCCCTCGAATGCTCACGTCGAGTTTGCTCTCCGTTGACGATCCGACGTCTTGTTTCACTGGAACATAATCTTCTCCTCACGATTTGACATTGTGGAGAACTCTGAACGAGTTTAAAACTCTATGAAAGAGTTGATTTAACCGAAAATCGGTTATAAGCCAAGGATGAAGAAGATCTTGTTGCCGATCTCCAAAGCTCCAACCGAAGGATCAATGATCCTATTTTCGCTGCCAAGAAGTTCCAACCGACCGCACCTGAACTGAATTGATTTTCAGTTATTTATAGGGGATTAAGGGGTGTAACCACCTCCTTAATTCGCTCCTAAGTGGGGCTAATGGGATGTAACCGCCCCTTAAATCACTCCTGAGTGGAGTTGTTGTGATCCCCTCAGATCGTGGGAAACAGTTTTGAAACCGTTCAGCTCGTGTTTGAACGAGTCAAACGCAAAATCCATGTTCTGATGCGAATTCTGCGTTCAAACGCAGTGTTTGGAAGCTCAGACGTAGCAATTTGGAAGCTGCGTTGGCATCTTGTTGAAAGTTACGTTTGACAGCTTGGGAGCTGCGTTTGGCGGCAGGTGAAAGCTGCGTTGATAGCTTTCGGAGACTGCGTTTGTGACCGAACATGAACTGCGTTTGCAGCTTTTGGAGCTGCGTTTGTAGCTTTTAGAGTTGCGTTTGAGCTGCGCTTGGAGCTGCGTTGAGCTGCGTTCGTGGCTATGAACGCAATGAGTCTTGATGCTGGTGTGCGGGGAGGACTTCCACAGTTTGATTTGAAGAGACCGTCGATTTGTAGTCTCTTTCTGTCGAAGCGTTGCAAAGATCGTCATTTTGTAATCTTTGCTTTAGCTCTCTGATATGTGAGAGTCGTCAGATTGTAACTCTCGATGTTGATTGTGAAGGCTGTTAAACTAGAGCTCTCATCGGTTGTCGTGAAGGTTGTCAGATTGTAACCTTCAGCGATCTACGTGAAAGTCTTCAAATTGTAGCCTTCTGGAAGTCGTCAGATTGTAACTTCCATCATCGGTGTTTGATGGGGATCAGCTATCTATTGTGATTTTTAGACAGCCTACAGAACCCCCTCCAAAGTTTTCGAAAGTTCGCGGTTGACTGGGACGAATTTTCGGAATACTTTGGATCTCAACTCTGATCTTGGAGCTGTTGATTCCTTGTGGTAAAGGATTTGTTCTCTGCACTTGCTTCGAAGGCATTTTGGTTGAAGGGATTTGCCACGTAGGACCTGTGTGAAGGTATGCGCCATAATCCTGCTTCTGGAATGTGGGGGTGGACCCTGCATTTTGAACTTGAGATACGGGTCTCACCCTTGCATGTTGAATTTGGAACACGGGTGTGACCTCGACGTTCGGTTTTTGCATCGTGGGTCTGATCTCAACTTTTTGACTTAAGACATGGAAGTGACTTCCGTGTATTTTTGACTAAGTCTTTGAGACTTGTCTTTGGCTCATCTGTTTTAAGTCTCGGCTCACATCCATTAAGCTGATGGGCCTGCAAACGTGCATAGGATTTTTGGCAAACCCTCAGCCATCAACGGATTTGATAAGTCTTTACCGACTACCGTTTGAGTCGGGCTAGCATGTGGATTGTCTAAGTCCGTTCCACATGTAACGTTGTGCTAAGAGAATGAACTCTCTTAGTCTTGATGCTCTGATTTTGAATACATAGACTTTATCATTTTGATGGGAAAAGACTAACCGGCAACTCGTGTTAGGCGTAGGCTTATCTCTAATTAGGGATCGAGATAAAGTCCCCCATGCGTGTGAG